CCCTACACCCTCAGCAACTCCTGAACTTGACGCGTGCTAACTATGCCGGGGAGGCGAATCGCAGGATCTGGCGGCGCCCTTTCAGCGTGGGGTGGCTCGGGGCTTTAGGGTTTAGGGTATAGGGTTTAGGGCTAGGGTTCAGGGTATCCTAGCAAGGTTTAGGACTTAGCGCTTCTACTAATTTAGATGGAGGAGTTTCAAGGTTCATTTCGGGCGGCGTCCCCTAAACCCTAAACCGAAACCCAAAACCGCAAAACTGTTCACACAAGGCCCAAGGGCAGCTCACGACTATCTTTCCTGGGGAGGGACGTAGGTGGAAAACCTGTCTCAACTATGCTCGGAACCGGGGGTTTAGGGTTTAGGGTTTAGGGTTAGGGTTTAGGGTTTAGGGTTTAGGGTTTAGGGTTTAGGGTTTAGGGTTTAGGGTTTAGGGTTTAGGGTTTAGGGTTTAGGGTTTAGGGTTTAGGGTTTAGGGTTTAGGGTTTAGGGTTTAGGGTTTAGGGTTTAGGGTTTAGGGGGTTTAGGGTTTAGGGTTTAGGGTTTAGGGTTTAGGGTTTAGGGTTTAGGGTTTAGGGTTTAGGGTTTAGGGTTTAGGGTTTAGGGTTTAGGGTTTAGGGTTTCGGGTTTCGGGTTTAGGGTTTGGGATTTAGGGTTTAGGGTTTAGGGTTTAGGGTTGGGCTTATGGGCCTGCTTATATATTTCAGCAGGTGGAGTTTGGGGTTTAAAGTCTTGCAGCCGCAAGTGTTTGGATTGCAGTGGCAAGGATATCGGTGCTGAAAACTAGACCCCTAAACCCCAAACCCCAAACCCCAAACCCTAAACCCTAAACCCTAAACCCTATGGGCTCCCGAGCCGTCTGGACGCCAGCTTCGTGGCTTTGGTCAGCGTGGACGGGGGCCCCTGCATCTGCTTTGGGGTTTTAGGGTTTTAGGGTTTAGGGTTTTGGGGTTTAGGGTGTAATTAGGGGTTTAGGTGTTTAGGGTTTGGGGGTTTAGGGTTTAGGGTTTAGGGTTTAGGGTTTAGGGTTTTGGGATTTCAGGGTGTAGGGTTGTGGGGTTTAGGGTTTGGGTGTGTCCCATGCCCGAGGTTAATGAGGTCTTGGGGGCATGGAGGTCTTCAGGGTTAGGGTTCTAGTGTCAGAAGCTTAGGGCCACCAGATGGTATCCTCTCCGACGGGTCCTATTAAAAGTGCAAATGAGTGCTATTCTTATTAGCATCATTGTTCTTAGTCTTCTTCTTCTTCTTAATATTATTATAGAATTTGTTTATTGAATTTATGGATCATTGAGGCGATATCATCCTATTCGCCCGTCCGTTCCACCGCTATAACCTCGAACGATGCTAGAATCAAGGTGAGAGAATGAATGGGGCCGTTTATAGTACTAATACTGTAGCCCCCATGTACGCACAAATAGTAATATCCTCACGCCCTAGAAGCCGCGCACACTTCGCTCACTCACACACAACTCATGCGTCACGCATTCACTTGTTCCTTACAATTGTGTAGTTCGTTCACTATGTGCACTATATTTGCACTATTACTAATGGAGGGCGGTGCGCTGTGGGGCCTGTGTTTTTTTTGTGTTTTTGCAGGGCACAAGTGTTTATAAAGCAGGTGTGCATGCACATGACACTCTTTATCCTGGATACTCTATATTTACAAGCACGCGGGCATACACAGGATAATAATTTAAAGCCTTTAAATTCCTTTAAAACCTTTAAAATTTAATTGGAGAGGCCTTCAATTAAATTTTAAAGGGGAGGGGCCCCCTTTAAAATCTTTAAAATCTCCCTTTAAATTTAAATGGTTTTAACGGTCTTAAAGCCCTTAAATTCCTTTAAAACCTGTAAAATTTATTTGGGGAGGCCCCCAATTGAATTTTAAAGGGGACGGGCCCCCTTTAAAATCTTTAAAATCTTTAAAATTTACTTGGACCTCCATTTAAATTTTAAAGGTTTTAAAGGAATTTAAAGGCTTTAAAAACCTTTAAAACCTTGAAAATTTAAATGGAGGTCCAAATACATTTTAAAGGTTTTAAAGATTTTAAAGGGGGCCCACCCTCTTTAAAATTTAATTGAGGGCCTCCCAAGTAAATTTTATAAAGGAATTTAAAGGCTTTAAAACCTTTAAAACCATTTAAATTTAAATGGAGGTCCAATTAAATTCAAAGATTTTAAAGATTTTGAAGGGGGGGCCCGCCCCTTTAAAATTTAATTGAGGGCCTCCCCAAGTAAATTTTAAAGGTTTTAAAGGAATTTAAAGGCTGTAAAACCTCTAAAACCATGTAAATTTAAATGGAGGTCCAATTAAATTTTAAAGATTTTGAAGATTTTAATGATTTTAAAGATTTTAAAGGGGGCCCGCGCCCTGTAAAATTAAATTGAACCTCCATTTAAATTTTAAAGGTTTTAAAGGAATTTAAAGGCTTTAAAACCTTTAAAACCTTTAAAATTTCAATGGAGTTCCAATTAAATTTTAAAGATTTTATATCCAGGCATCTGGGCGAGGAGGGGGGGGGGGGGGAGGGGGGGGGGGGGGGGGGGGGGGGGGGGTCTTGGGTGTTGGTTCTCCACAAATCCCTCAACACCCAACACCCCCCCCACCCACCCCCCCCCCCCCCCCCCTCCCCCCCCCCACCCCCCCCCCCCCCCTCCCCCCCCACCCACCCCCCCCCACCCTAAAAATGAACCATAAGAAATCAAGTTAACCTTACCTAACCAGTAACGTATGACAGTCAACCACGCCCATCTAACCTTAGTATAGTTCAACTACTTAACTTCGCCCATCCAACCTCAAACAACGGAATCTTCAACGAAGAGCCCCCCCCCCCTCCCCCCCACCCCCAAAGAATCAATGCTTATAAGCAAGCCATCTGCTTATAAGCAAACCCTTCCTCTACACAAAAAAACTCTATAAAAATGAACCATAAGAAATCAAGTTAACCTTACCTAACCAGTAACGTATGACAGTCAACCACGCCCATCTAACCTTAGTATAGTTCAACTACTTAACTTCGCCCGTCCAACCTCAAACAACGGAATCTTCCACGAAGAGCGTTAAAAAAAACACAGGCCCCACAGCGCACCCTTCTGTACTAATACTAGCAGCGACTAGCAATACGGGCTAATAAACATAAGATAAAGCGTGAAGAGAATTATACTGGCCCGTGTGAACAAGAAGTGAGTACAAGGGTGAAGAGAACGCGCAGTGCCTGAGGTTCTGGGTTTAGGGATTTCGCGTGTAGGGTCTTTGGTCTAGCTGCAAGTCAGTCTCTGAAAAAAAGTGTGACTGTGTGCCCTAAGCCCTAAAACGCAAAACCCAAAACCCTCAGCCCAGAAAACCTAAACCCCCTAAAACCCCCCTTCAGTGAAACCCTCTCAGCGCCTGTGGCTGCAGTTTCGCGAGATCTTCCTCATCACGGCTTCAGGGATACTCTGAAGTGCCCCAGGAAAGGTTCTAAGGTTAAAGGTTTTTCGGCGCAAAGGTGTAGGCTTTGGGGTTAACAGGGTTTAGGGTTAGGGTTTAAAGGTTTAGGCTTTGGGGCTTTAAAGGGGTTTGTAATCTACCTCGTTCCATGGGGCAATGCCAGGGCTAGCGAGTACGGCAGCCTTCCCTAAACCCTAAACCCTAAACCTCTCTTTCATATATAATTTAAATGTTAAGGAGTTACTGGGCAAGGTCTTTTTTTTACTGGGCAAGGTCTTTTTTTTACTGGGCAAGGTCATTTTTTTACTGGGCAAGGTCATTTTTTTACTGGGCAAGGTCGTTTCGTCCAAAAAAACGACCTTGCCCAGTAAAAAAATGACCTTGCCCAGTAAAAATGTTACTGGGCAAGGTCATCTTTTTACTGGGCAAGGTCATCTTTTTACTGGGCAAGGTCATCTTTTTACTGGGCAAGGTCATTTTTTAACTGGGCAAGGTAGTTTTTTTACTGGGCAAGGTCATTTTTTTACTGGGCAAGGTCATTACTGGGCAAGGTCATTTTTTTATTGGGCAAGGTAGTTTTTTTACTGGGCAAGGTCATTTTTTTACTGGGCAAGGTCATTTTTTTACTGGGCAAGGTCATTTTTTTACTGGGCAAGGTCATTTTTTTACTGGGCAAGGTCATTTTTTTACTGGGCAAGGGGGTCATTTTTTTATTGGGCAAGGTCATTTTTTTTACTGGGCAAGGTCATTTTTTTTACTGGGCAAGGTCATTTTTTTATTGGGCAAGGTCATTTTTTTACTGGGCAAGGTCATTTTTTTACTGGGCAAGGTCGTTCCATAAGTGAAATGTTTTCATAATGTTGTGGGATTCTTCGGGCGGGTGGGTATTTTTCTGGAGTAATAATTTCTTGACTAGTGAATGCTTGAACTTGAGATGCTGAACCCTAAACCCTAAACCCTAAACCCTAAACCCTAAACCCTAAACCCTAAACCCTAAACCCTAAACCCTAAACCCGAAACCCTAAACCCTAAACCCTAAACTGAAAATTTCGGGCACTTAATGGCATTTGGGAGCAGAGGAGACCAGGGGCTTCCATCCACAGAGGTCTGGGGTTTAGGCTTAGGGTTTAGGGTTTAGGGTTTAGGGTTTAGGGTTTAGGGTTTAGGGTTTAGGGTTTAGGTTTAGGGTTTAGGGTTTAGGGTTTAGGTTCAGCGTCTCCGGGTTTAGGAAACTAGGATCAACCTCGGGGACTTCGCAACAGTATGGGCTCGATTATCGGGTCCGTAAGGGACGGGGGTTCCTAAGGGAATGGGGTTCGGGTTCGCAAGGGAGCGGGGTTCAAGGGGGTCTAAGGGGGTTAGGCGGTTAGGTAACCCAAGGTTCCCTCATACCCCCCACTACTCCCTAAGTCTAGGCTTCCCGAAGATTCGCTCGGTACCTACCTTAAACCCTAAACCCCTAAACCCTACCCCCTAAACCCCTAACCCCTAAACCCTAAACCCTACCCCCCCCCCCCCCCCCCCCCATGAGCCTCCCATGGACTTTGAAGCACAAGCCCACTGAGTCGCCAACTTTCGAGATCGCCTCGTACAGCTTCGTCACGTCCCCTTTCTCACCCGCCTTCTCTGGCTTAGGGTTTAGGGTCTAGGGTTAAGGGTTTAGGGTACCTTATACACTCTGAAGCCTTTGAGCATATGAGCCTTACTGCCCTTTGACAAACCGTAAACCCTAAACCCTAATCCCGTATGAGCCCTGATACACCTCCAAGAGTCTCTTCCGTCTCTATGAGGGCCTTAAACACGGCGTTGAGAGCGTTTGGGATCAAGCTTTAAAAAAACCTCACCCTTGAATACCCTCTATACCCTCAAACCGTTTGGAGCTTCTGGGCTTATAATGTTTTAAGCTTACACCTTTTTGGGTTTTGGGTTTTATGGTTTGAGGGCTTATAGATGGTTTAGAATTTAAGGTTTAAGGTCTTAAGCTTTGGGTTTTGCCAGCTATTGGGGTCAGATAGCTCGCCAAGCACAAATCACATTCACCCTTAAAACCAAAAATCTTCCCCCTGAACCCCAAACCCCAAACCCCAAACCCCAAACCCCAAACCCCAAACCCTAAACCCTAAACCCTAAACCCTCCTAACGTCTTTGGGTTTAGGGTTTGGTGTTTAGGGTCGAGGTCCCATCGGCTGCATACCCCCCTCAGAAGTATGGAAACAGCTTGGGGCTTGTACATAGGAGAACAATGCTTCTCAGGAACCAGGGCTTAATTCAACACATGCACACACGTGAGCTGGACGTGGGCCTCTATAGTCTATCGAAAGCCTCACCCATTTTCCCGTTTTAAATTGTCCTGGATTTGCCTCGGACGAATTCAATTGTGTACTCTTGTGGAATTCGGTACCCAATAGCCATACTAAATAGAGTTTTGGGGTGCCTAATTCCCTAATCGTACTACAAGTGGATCCTCCCTAAACCCTAAACCCTAAACCCTTAACCCTAAACCCTAAACCCTAAACACCGAAGCCCGTGCACCTTCGCTGCGAGCGTGGGGAAGAGCTTCTTCAGCATTTGAGCTGGCGCAGGTCGCCAAGGTATTTCACAAAGGGGACTCCACGTTTTTGAAAGCCTATCAGCAAGGGCAGGAGCTCCTAAAACCCTAAACCCTAAACCCTAAACCCTAAGCCCTAAGCCCTAAGCCCTAAACGTATCGTATACCCCAGAGGGGCCAGTTGTATTATGATTAATTATGGTATCAAGTACCCAAAAACCATACTAAATAGGGTTTTGGGGTACCTAATTCCATAATAGTACTACAAGTGGACCCTCCGGTTACCCGATCATCCCTAGGGTTGATTGTGGGGATAAGTTGCGGGCCTTGAGGTTCGGAGTGCCTTAGTCAGAAGCACATCATGGCTGTCGGTCTGCTGAACCCTAAACCCTAAACCCTAGACCCTAAACCCTAAACACTAAACCCTAAACCCTAAACCCTAAATCCCCAAATCCTGTTACACCCTAAACATCCAAAGGCGTGAGCTGCCCTTAACACCCACAGACAAACTCATTCCCAAGATGTTTTCGTCTTTAAACCCCAAGAAAACTTACTTCCCAGATAGCCATGGGGCAAAAGTTCAAACTTTCAGAATCAGACTACCTTACCAGAGGGCAACACTTGAAAAGTTGCGTGTTGAACCACAAGGACAAGATAAGAAAATCTAGAACAAATCCCGAGGGCCTACATCGCTTAACACGTGGACAAGCGGATGCTGCAACGCAGATCACGAGCTGCCTTCCATTCTCGCATCTCCGTTGTTCTTGGTCGGTGCCCAAAGCGATCCGACAGGGTCCATGTGTCGTATTCTAGGCCCCGGGACTTACTTCTCCAATAGCCAAGGGGAAAAAAGGTTAAACTTTATTATTCCTACTAAATCAGGAAGCCCGAAAAGTTTAACGTTCAGCTGTTGGGGAAGTAAGGGGAGTAACCCAGGAATAAAAAGGGTGCCCTTTTTGGAATTTCAAACTTAAGAAAAGGAAAAAAAGGGGCCTAAACCCTAAACCCTAAACCTTAAACCCTAAACCCTAAACCCTAAACCCTAAACCCTAAACCCAAAACCAATAGGGTTCGTAAGGGAGGGGGCTTATGTAGGGAACCTCCGAGAAACTTAGGGCGCCTTAGGGTCTTAGGGCGTAGTGGGGATTCTAGGGGAACCTTGGGTTACATACCCCCCCCTTGAACCCCCCCCCCCCCCCCTTAAGAACCCCAGAATAGTACTACTATGAACTTAGGCACCCCAAATGCCATACTGCATAGAGTGTTGGGGTACCTGACTCCACAATCGTACGACAGATCGACCCTCAAAACTCCCTTCGAATGCGGCGTCTGCACAAAAAAGCGCAACTTGCTCCAACCCATGGTCGCGTCTCTTTCTCCTGGTCCTCTTCGTAGCCCAGTAACCATATTACAATGAGGGCACCCTCCTTTTTTTGGCTTTTGGTTACTTTATAAGGGAACCTTCAGTCCCCAAGAAAGGGCAAAAAGGGTACCACTGGGCTACCAAGTCCTTCTTGAAGTTGCTGTTTCTAAGGCCGGCCCCCTTTGTCATGCTACCCAAGACTACTTTGAGAAGTGACCACATGCATTTCAGTACGGTTTGAAAATTCCGCGCTGCGCAACTTGCGCAGATCCAGCCGCGCCCCAGCAGTGATGGGGGCCGCTGAGCACCTTCTGCCTACGGGACGAGTTCAGTGAACACGAAACGCCGAAAACCGAAACAGAAACCGGTAGTAGAGCGGGGGAGGAAGGTACATGAAGTAGGGTATATATTTCTGGTACCCCCAAAAGGAATCAGAAAGGACTCCAGGTGTATACACTCACCAATATTAGGAAAGGAACCTTATATACACTCACCAAAGACAGAAATAGAAACCCGGCTTCTTGATTTCAATTCTACAGTTCATCTGGCCCTCAGCTTCTCGCCAGAACTCGCCTGTCTTTCGTAGCCGGATCCATGCCACTGCGAGGCTGTCTCGTATGGAAACTGAGTGCCGTACCCACGACTCCGATAGACAAAACACTGCTACTGCAATCTTTGCAGACGTTTTGGACCAAAGCAGTCGCCATTTGTATAGATACTTGGAGTCAAGGTTAACATGCAGGGAGAGTTTGAATTCAGTGTTGCCAAAGGTGATTTTGATTTGTTGGTAGGGAAGTGCAGTGTTTGTGGGCTCAACCCAACACATGCATTTGCACCTGCAATAGCAGCCGCTCTGTGACAGGCTTCTGGATGACCCTCTTCTAAGCCTGTCTCCCTAAACCCTAAACCAAAACCCTAAACCCTAAGCCCTAAGCCCTAAGCCCTAAGCCCTAAGCCCTGAACCCTAAACCCCAAACCCCAAACCCCAAACCCTAAACAACAAAATCGGCAAGTCAATGCGCCAGCGCAAAGTCTGCCGCTGCCCAAGTGCGCGAGATGCAGATCCAGCCGCGCTGATGCAGCGATGAGGGACGTGGCACCTCCGTTTAGGATCCAGGGTCTATAGGGTTTTCGGGTTTACACTCGAAGCCAAACAGCGGGAGACAGGTTTAGGGTTTAGGGTTTAGGGTTTAGGGTTTAGGGTTTAGGGTTTAGGGTTTAGGGTTTAGGGTTTTCGGGTTTAGGGCTTAGGGATTTCGGCTTTGGGCAAAAGGATCCAGGGTCTATAGGGGTTCGGGTTTAGGGCTTAGGGATTTCGGCGTTGGGCAAAAATAGGATCTAGGGTCTATAGGGTTTCGGGCTTAGGGCTTACGAATTTGGGCTTTGAGCGAAACATCATCCATTCAAAAACCCTGCACGCTGGGACTGCGACATCTTACCACAGAAAGGAAGTAGGCTTCTTCTTACTTGCACCCCTAAAAGGGCACCGATTATACATCTCTCCATATACATATATATATATATACATACATACGCACCAATATGTACAAGGAACCATGTATAGGACACATACACAAAAGAAAAAACAAACAAAAACTCCAAGTGGGCTCTATGCTCGTAAGGGTACATCCTCGATGACCTAGAAAACCCTAAACCCTAAACCCTAAACCCTAAACCCTAAACCCTAAACCCTAAACCCTAAACCCTAAACCCTAACCCCCAAACCAATTAGCTTGGGCAGAGGTTGGCCTACCTTCGTACCACCCGGACATGATGGCGGCCAGCAGAGGTGTCTGAACATAGGCATGAGAGCACCATCTGGCCATGAAGCTGGCCAGGCCACCGCCTGGTCATTCGAAGCTGGCCAGGCCACCGCCTGGTCATTCAAGTAAGGTTTAGGGTTTAGGGTTTAGGGTTCGGGTTTAGGGTTTAGGGTTTAGGGTTTAGGGTTTAGGGTTTAGGGTTTAGGGTTTAGGGTTTAGGGTTTAGGGTTTAGGGTTTAGGGTTTAGGGTTTAGGGTTTAGGGTTTAGGGTTTAGGGTTTAGGGTTTAGGGTTTAGGGTTTAGGGTTTAGGGTTTAGGGTTTAGGGTTTAGGGTTTAGGGTTTAGGGTTTAGGGTTTAGGGTTTAGGGTTTAGGGTTTAGGGTTTAGGGCTTAGGGCTTAGGGCTTAGGATTTAGGGTGAACCCTATGAACGCAAAGCCCTGAACACCCCAAGCCTTCGGGTTCATGGAGTCCACACCATTACGGAATAGAAGGAGGGGCCCCCAAGTAGAGACCCTTTGTCTGATTCCCCTATACAACCCATATGTATGTATATATATATATATATCCCCGACACATACCTTATATAGTTCCTATGCACCTTAAATAACCCCTAAACCCTAAACCCTAAACCCTAAACCCTAAACCCTGAACCCTAAATCCTAAACCCTAAACCCTAAGGTCCCTTAGAAGGGTCCCTCCGTTCGTCCCATCATCCATGAAAACCAGAGGCCAGGCACCAAGGTGGATGTGGGGACCGTGAAGGAATGCAAGTTCTATGGGTTCTGTAGGAATGAGGGTCCATCAACACTAACACTAACCCTAAACCCCAAACCCCAAACCCCAAACCCTAAACCCCAAACCCTAAACCCCAAACCCTAAACCCCAAACCCCAAACCCGCCCTTTGAACCGCGCGTTCTCTGTCCCAAAGCTTCAGGCAGCCCTGGACACTTTGGCCGCTCTAAGCAGCAGCCTTCACCCTGGCCACTTTAAGCGGCCTTCACACTTTGGCCACGTTAAGCAGCCTTCACCAGTTTGGGGCCACTTTAAGCGGCCTTCACAGTTGAAAAATAGGGGTTCTTGGCAGCCCAGTAACCATATTATTCATATTATCATAATAAGGGCACCTTTTGCTGGGCTTGGTTACTTCATAAGGGGACCTTGAAGTGATAAAGGGACCAAGGGTACCACTGGGCTGCCAAGGGTTTTAGGGTTTAGGAGAGTTTAGGGTTTGAGGTTCGCGCGGCGGACTGAGAACTTTCAAGTCCTTCTCACGCCTCGCGCTTGAAAAGCCCTACACACCCCCAAAAAACACTATTTTTTAACTGCCCCGTACATTCGATGGGATGCGGCCCACATACCCCCAGAATTTGGACATCAACCCCCCGATTCATAGAACTTGGGAGACGACCTCGGTGCTCGAAAAGATTTCGGTGTCCTCGCTGGACGAACTTGCGCGCGGCTTCGCCATCTTCTTCTCTTGGACGTCCGGCACGAGCGCGGAGAGCGCGGAGAGTGCAGAGCTCTCGCTCTCAATAGCCAGGGCTTTCAGCGTCTGTTCCACCTCTGCCGAAAGCCTCTCCGACAGGCGGGAGCTCACGCCCTCGCCAGTGATCTCCTCGTCGTCCGCCTCATCTAGTGCCTGTCCTGCATCCTGATCTCCTTGGTCGCCCAGCAACCATACTATATTTTTAGCTGGCTACGTTACAAGGGAACCTTGAACCAAGAAGAAACAAAAGGGCGCCACTGGGGTCCCTAAACCCTAAACCCTAAACCCTAAACCCTAAACCCTAAACCCTAAACCCTAAACCCTAAACCCTAAATATAAACCCTAAACCCTAAACCGAGTCTCTGTAGCGACGGAATCGTCGGGAGATCTCGGAGGTCTGCTTGTCGAGG